AAAAATGAGATAATCTTCATAATTTTGCATCATAAGATTTAGCTGCACCCAGGACATCTGCCCTTACAGCAAGCATTTTTGCTGTGTTAGAATTTTTTTAAATCTACAACAGAGACTTTAGTTCTGGGAAAGTTTTCTGCTTTTTTCCCAAGCTTAGCATTTCTATGTGTTAGGCCCTATGAAATACATTTGCATTATTCATGTTGGTATCCTGCACATGTTAGCACTTCTTTAAAAGTTGGGTAGAATTCATCAATGAAGACATCCAGTGTTGGGCATTTTATTTTATTTTGTCCAGATGGGAGTATTTTAATTGCACATTCCATCTCCTTACTCTCACTTAGATTTCCATTTTCTTTGTAATTCAGTCTTGGTAGGCCTATATTTCTAACAATGTATAATAGTTTCTTATGATCCTTGTATTTCTATTACCAGTTGTGATGACTTGCCTTTCATTTTTGATTTTATTTATTTGAGTCTTCTCTTTTTTTCTGAATTAGTTTATTGAAGGATTTCTCAATACAGTTTACCTTTTTAAAAAAGAAAACAGCTTTGCTGATCTTTTCTATCATGTTGTATTTTCTGTTGTATTGAGATTTGCTTTTCTGAGACATGGTTACTTCCTCCCTAGACACATGACACCCATCATTTCCTAAGTCATGCACAGTCTCTACAAAGCTACCATGGAGCATGCTCCAGGCCCACCTATGTACAGCAATTCCTGACTATGACTTCTTCTTAACCTCAAAGAATATGCCCTACCATTGAATTAAAAGAGCTTCCTTCCTTCTATCACTCTTTCCTCCCATTCCTTTTTTAGAAATTTCTTCCTTCCACATTCTCAAAGGGTAGGGTGGAAAAACAAAGTCATTTGGGAGCAAACACAGACAAATATGTCCCACTCCTGCTCTTTCTCTCTTTCCCCTTCTCTTTTTTTCTCTTGATCTCTCTCTCACTCACATACTTTCTTTCTGTGTCTCTTTTGAGACCAAAGTTATAAAATATTTCTTTATTTTTTTAATAATTGTATATCAAATTTTGTGCTTTAATTGGCTATATTTTTATTGAAATACAAGTAAAGGCTCAAAAGTTAAAATAAATAAAAGAAATCAAGAAAATTTGTGAAGAGGAGAACAGGGTGTGCAGCATCCTGGGGTCTTGTCATTCTTCTACATATAGTACCTGTCAGCATCTCTGTTTTCAAAACCACAATCACTTTTAGGGTATAATATAGCTCAGTTCTAATCACAAAAACTGTCTTTCTGAATGGGATTTAATGTTGGTGGCGCTCCATGCAACAGATCATTTGTTGGGGGCAACTCAAAACAATGGCAACAAGAATCAAGGAATCCCGGTTCCCACTTTTCCCTACCTACCAATTTTTGTGATCTACAAAATGTCANTAACAGGGATAATCCTGCTTTGGAAAATGTGAGTGTACTCATCCTCTTTAATTATTTTGAATACTTTGAGAAAAATTGGTATTAGCTGTTCTTTATTTTTATTTTTTTCTATATTTTTTAATTTTACTTATTTATGGGTACAGAGTCAACTGTCAGTATTTTTGTACAGTATGTTATGATCAAATTAGTATTATTAGCATGTTCATCATTACAAATTGTAATTACATTTGTGTCCCTTTCCCAATTACTTCCTAACAGCCCTCCACTCCCTTTTCCTACCTCTAGTAGTTATAAGCCTGTTCTCTCCTTCAGAAAGTTCAATGTTATGTTGTAGTTCATTTGTTCTTTATTTTGTTGCTCCCACATTTGAGTGAGGATATGTGGTAATTCTTTTTCTGTGTCTGGCTTACTTCACTTAAAATAATTTTCTCCAAACTCATCCATGTTGCTGCAGATGTCAGAATTCTGTTCCTTTCATGGCTGAGTAGTATTCTGTTGTGTATATATACCATATTTTCCTTATTCAGTCATCTGTCAATGGACATACAGCTTGGTTTCATATCTTGGCTATTGTAAATAAAGTTGCGATGAACATGTGAGTGAAGTTTTCCCTTCGACATGATTATTTCCATTCCTTTGGATATATATCCAGGAGTGGCATTGCTGGATCATATGATAGTTGCATCTGTAGCTGTTTAAGAAACGTCCGTACTGTTTTTCATAATGTCTGAACTAATTTACAGTCCAACCAAAAGTGTAGAAGATTTCCACTTTCTCCACATCCTTTCAACAATTTGTTATTCTCTTTTTGATTATAGACAGTCTAACTGGGGTGAGGTGTTATCTCAGCGTGGTTATGATTTGTATTTCCCTGATGATTAGTTATGCTGAGCATTTTTTAATGTAACTGCTGTTCATTTGTATCTCTTCATTTGAAAAATATCTATTCAGCTCTTTTGCCCATTTTCCAATTGAATCTTTTGATTTTTAGTGGGAACTTATTTAAGTTTTTTCTATTTTCTGGATATTTATTTTTTGTTGAAACGTATCGTTTCCAAATATTTTCTCCCATTCTGTAGGTTGCCTTTACACTCTGTTGATTGTCTCATTTGCTATGCAAAAGCTTATTAGTATGATATGGTTCTATTTATTTATTTTGTTGTTTGTGCTTTTTCTGTCTTATTCATAAATTGTTTGCCTAGTCTTATGTCCTGAAGTGTTTCCCCTTTGTTTGCACCTCAAAATTTTGTAGTTTCCGGTCTTCTTCTTCAGTCTTTAATCCATTTTGAGTTGATTTTTGTGTATGGTGAGAGGTATAGTTCTAGTTTTACTCTTCTACACATGGATATCCAGTTTCTCCATCACCATTTACTGAGGAAGCTGTCCTTTCCCACTGTAAGTTCCTGGAGCCTTTATCAAAGGTCAGTTGGCTGTAAGAACCTGAGTGACATCAGTGCTTTGTGTTCTATTCCATTGGTCTATGTGGCTGTTTTTATGCCAGTACCATGCTGTATTGGTTACTATAGCTTATAGTGTAATTTGATATCAGGTAGTATAATGCCTCCATTTTTTTTCTTCTTCAGATTGCTTTAGCTACTCAGGCTCTTTTGTTGTTCCATATGAAGTTTAGGATTGCTTTTTCTATTATGGTGAAGAATGTTGCTGGTATTTTGTTGTGGATTGCACTCAACCTGTAGGTCTCCATTAGTAGTATGGACATTCACATTAATTCTTCCAATCCATGAACAAGGAATGTCTTTCCATTTTTGGTGTCCTCTCTACTTCCTTTCAACAGAGTTTTGTAGCACTCATTGTAGAGTTCTTTCATCTCTGGTTAATTTTTTTCATAAGTATTTTATTGTTTGGTAGCTACTATAAATGAGCTTTCTTTCTTTATTTTTTTCTCCTTGTTCTTTGTTGCTGTATAAGAATGCTATTCATTTTTGTACATTGATTTTGTATCCTGCAACTTTACTAAATTTGATTATGTTAGTGTCACCTCTCTCAGGTTGAGGGAGATGCAAAGGATTACTCAAAATCAATTTCTCCTGAGCAGTGAGAAGCCCGAAGCGGTTACCCCCAGGAATAATTCTTTCAATAGAAGAAAGATCCTGGGAATAGTCCCAAATCAGCTTTTCTCTATGTTTTTATTCTCCAGTCAAGAAAGTTACAGAAAAGGAACATAGGTGGTTATAAAAAAAAATGAGATAATCTTCATAATTTTGCATCATAAGATTTAGCTGCACCCAGGACATCTGCCCTTACAGCAAGCATTTTTGCTGTGTTAGAATTTTTTTAAATCTACAACAGAGACTTTAGTTCTGGGAAAGTTTTCTGCTTTTTTCCCAAGCTTAGCATTTCTATGTGTTAGGCCCTATGAAATACATTTGCATTATTCATGTTGGTATCCTGCACATGTTAGCACTTCTTTAAAAGTTGGGTAGAATTCATCAATGAAGACATCCAGTGTTGGGCATTTTATTTTATTTTGTCCAGATGGGAGTATTTTAATTGCACATTCCATCTCCTTACTCTCACTTAGATTTCCATTTTCTTTGTAATTCAGTCTTGGTAGGCCTATATTTCTAACAATGTATAATAGTTTCTTATGATCCTTGTATTTCTATTACCAGTTGTGATGACTTGCCTTTCATTTTTGATTTTATTTATTTGAGTCTTCTCTTTTTTTCTGAATTAGTTTATTGAAGGATTTCTCAATACAGTTTACCTTTTTAAAAAAGAAAACAGCTTTGCTGATCTTTTCTATCATGTTGTATTTTCTGTTGTATTGAGATTTGCTTTTCTGAGACATGGTTACTTCCTCCCTAGACACATGACACCCATCATTTCCTAAGTCATGCACAGTCTCTACAAAGCTACCATGGAGCATGCTCCAGGCCCACCTATGTACAGCAATTCCTGACTATGACTTCTTCTTAACCTCAAAGAATATGCCCTACCATTGAATTAAAAGAGCTTCCTTCCTTCTATCACTCTTTCCTCCCATTCCTTTTTTAGAAATTTCTTCCTTCCACATTCTCAAAGGGTAGGGTGGAAAAACAAAGTCATTTGGGAGCAAACACAGACAAATATGTCCCACTCCTGCTCTTTCTCTCTTTCCCCTTCTCTTTTTTTCTCTTGATCTCTCTCTCACTCACATACTTTCTTTCTGTGTCTCTTTTGAGACCAAAGTTATAAAATATTTCTTTATTTTTTTAATAATTGTATATCAAATTTTGTGCTTTAATTGGCTATATTTTTATTGAAATACAAGTAAAGGCTCAAAAGTTAAAATAAATAAAAGAAATCAAGAAAATTTGTGAAGAGGAGAACAGGGTGTGCAGCATCCTGGGGTCTTGTCATTCTTCTACATATAGTACCTGTCAGCATCTCTGTTTTCAAAACCACAATCACTTTTAGGGTATAATATAGCTCAGTTCTAATCACAAAAACTGTCTTTCTGAATGGGATTTAATGTTGGTGGCGCTCCATGCAACAGATCATTTGTTGGGGGCAACTCAAAACAATGGCAACAAGACTCAAGGAATCCCGGTTCCCACTTTTCCCTACCTACCAATTTTTGTGATCTACAAAATGTCACTTACATATGCTTGCTTCCCTCTTCCTTATAGTGATAATAGCTGCCCAAATGTTATTCTTACTGAAGTAAATATGTTGCCTCTTTATCAGCCTCATGAGGGCCTCTTTGATATCCTTGTTCCTCAGACTATAGATCAGAGGGTTTAACAGGGGAATAAAGATAACATAGAAAATGGACAGCACCTTGTGCTTCATGGAGTGGCTAGAGCCAGGATGCATGTACACAGAGAGGCATGTGCTATAGAAGAGGGTCACAGCAGCCAGATGGGAGACACAGGTGTTGAAGGCCTTGGCACTTCCTTTAACTGAGTATATTTTCAGGATGGAGGCTGCAATGAAACCATAGGATAAGAGGATAACAAACAAAGAACCCAACCCCATAAACATAGCTACCAGGAAAACAATCATTTGGCACATGAATGGATTGGAGCAAGATAGAGAAATAACCTGAGTTATGTCACACAAAAAATGTTGAATGATATTTGGTCCACAGTAGGAGAGATTAAAACAAGGGAGTACATGAACTAGACTAGTGAGAAAACCACTAGCACAGGCCCCAGCAATCATCTTCCAACAGCGGCCGGGTACCATGATGGCTGAGTACTGCAGAGGGCTACCGATGGCGACGTACCGGTCATAGGCCATGGCAGCCAAGAGGCAGCACTCAGCCAGACCCATCCAGGCCCCGACAAAATACTGAGTGGCACAGGCCATGAAGGAAATTGTTTTCTCATCTCTTAAGAAGTCTGAGAGCATCCTTGGGCTGATGGAGGAAGAATAGCAGATGTCTATAAATGACAGGGAACTGAGAAAAAGGTACATGGGTGTGTGCAGGTTGGAGTTGATCTTGATGACAATGATAAGACATAGGTTCCAGAGGAGGGTCCCAAGGTAGATGCCCAGGAAGACTGGAAAGAGGATGAGCTGCAGCTCTTTTTCATCTGAAAGTCCCAGGAGAATAAACATGGCTACAGAAGTGTGGTTCTCAACCCCTTCCATAGATTTGTTTGGTGCCATCTGCTAGGAAAGGGGCAGAGAAGGAAGTGGTTTTATTCCAAAAAATAAAAGGAAAAACAAATAATTTTTTTTTTCAGTCAGGCTGCTGACTAAATATGTAACCTTGAATCATCAAGGCTGAGTTATCTTGTGCTGTCCATGTACAATCAACAACTGTAACTTTAAAAATCTCTTTGATAAATATTCTCTGTCTATGAGACAAAAGACAGCAAATCATCATTAGTACGATATCATGTAAAATTTTATGTTTCTCATGCCAGGTTTTGCAAATATATGGGACTTTGGAGATTGGTCAATGAGGAAAATACTGTCATTTCTCTATATGGTGTAATAGGACAATATTGCTCAGGCATGGATCTGCCATTCACTCAATTCTTGGAGACACCCCTGAATTATTATGGGCCTCCTGTGTAAAATGAGGATGCTGGAGTAGATCCTCTATAAAATGTCTTCACAAATTAACATCCAATATATTTATAAACAGGGAGTATTGACAATTCTCTTACTGCTTTTCTTTTCTCATAATGCCTGGAGAGATAAAAGAATAATATAGCAGGATGATGTGAGATGTGACATACCAAGAATCAGCTTAGAAATAGATGTGACTTAACTGACTTAATGACTCTGGAAAGGCTCCTGAGAAGTTAAAAAGAGATGATGAAGGAGCCATTATGCTCACAACTTGCAGGTGCATGTTTTTCTTTTCTCAAATCAGAGATATTTATGAGGTATATTTTCTAGGACAGTGATTTTTAGTCTTCTTGTGGTCATTGACAATTTTTAAAAACTTTTATAATCTCTGAACGCTTTATCCAGGAAACTGTGTCTACTTGCCACTTTTCCATACAGTTTTTCTTTGTTGTTGTTTTTTTTTGTTTTTTGTTTTTCGGGGTTTTGTTTGTTTGGTTTTTTTGTTTGTTTGTTTTTGATTCTCAATTGCCCTCAAGTGTATCCTTGGTGCTCAAGTTAAAGACTTTTCTCCTACAACAGTGAGTGACTCGAACTCATGTAAAGGATAAGATACTTAGGTGATAGGATTATGGAAAGTTGTTGAAGAAGAGGAACCCAGGACGTGTTCTTTCCTCAGAACAAGAGCAGAATAGGCCCACTGCTACTACCACTACACTCACTGCTGAACTAGCTGGTGACTTTGTCAGTATCCAGTACCATCGCCCACCTTCCCACAGTGAGTTTTGCACTATCCACGGATGCTTCCACCTGCTGTGTTGCTCCCTCTGGTAGCCATACCAACCAGTGCTGTAGCACTGCTCAGACCAGCTTTTTCCAGGATCCCTGCACATTCTGCTGCACCAGTCAGCATGGCCATGTTTGGGAACTCTGCCACAGCCTCCTGCAGTGCAGCAGCCATCTCTAGAAGCTACGTTGCCACCACAGTCACATCAGCCACTCTTGGGACCTTTGCCCAAACTGCCTCAACAGACAGCCCTGCTATGCATGGGAATTCCTGCCATAATTGCATGCAGTGTGGCTTCTCCCACCATAGCTATCACACCAGCCAGACCAGCTGGGTGTGGGACTCCCTGATGATGCTGAAGTAGTAGCCAGCCTGACTGGCCTGAGACCACTGTTTGCAGTGCAGGACCCATCCCCAGCAGCCATCTACATCTCCGCACCCACTAGACCATTTGCATGCAGGACTTCTGCACAAGCAGCCTACCCAGCCAACCCAACCATACATGGTACTCCTGCCACATGTGCCTGAAGAGTGACAGCCATTGCCAGCAGCTGTCCACATCTCTGCCCAAGCCTGGCCAGTCATGCACCAGACCCCTACCAAGCTGCCTCACCAATAAGCCCTGCTATACCGTGGACCCTAGACCTAGTTGCATGCAGTGCAGCTGCTACCATTCTAGCAATTACACCAGGTGGATGAACAGGGTATGGGCCGACCTGCCACAACCTACAGTGCTCTCCCACACCTGCCATGTCACCAGCGCACCAATCAGACGACCCGCATGCAATCCCTCTCCACACCATTGCACCAGCCAGCCAGGTTGCATATGAGATCCCCTCACAAGCCAGACAGGCTGAGCATTGGATTCCCACCATAGCCACTTGCAGTATGGCTGCTGCCTCCACCATCACACCAACAAGTCTGGCCATGTGCGTGATCCCTGACCATATCATTGCAGCAGCCAGACTGGTGATGGGTGGGACTTGATGTTGGCACTGAAACAGTAGCCAGCCCTGGGTGTGGGAACCAGGTTACTACTGCCTGCACGAGTACTCCCATTGCTGCCACTTCTGGAATCCATACACACCACTACCATTGCCACTGCACCAATCAGACTTGCAGAGTAGGACCCACAACTGGCACTACGCATTGACACAGGAAAACTCACAAGCAGAGCCCCCGGAAAGAGGTAAGCCCACATAGACCCACATCTCAGCGGCCAAAACCACAGGGAGAATTACACTCATGTGCAGTAAGCACAACTGCCCTGACCTAGGGAGAGACACACAGAGAACCTGGAGAGTACAAAAACCCAGTATAGCCAAATAGTGTACAGAGAAAATTTCCAGCCACCATCAACTCATCCCTCAACCAGTGGAAACAAGGATCCAGGAGAAGCCTTGGCCGACAGGAACAAGGAAAAAGAAAGCTCACTCAGGGTCATCCATTCAAAATGAGGAGATCCAGTATAGTTCAGTGCACCCATCAGGGTCACAAGATACTAGCTGGGGAGACAACAAGTGTGCCTAGCATCACGCACCCCAATTTAAGGTTGACAAGTAACTATGGCACTTTGCCCAAGACCTGAAGAGCTCACTTGAGTCCTTAATGTCCCAACACAGTGTCACTAAACACCACAAGAAATCACAAAATGCCCTGGTGCCTACACCATGGAGGCACTCAAACATTAAATATGGCAGAATTATCCACACAGACACTGCACTACTGTGTTTGTCAAGAACCAATATTAAAACACCTTACTCAACAGTCAATACAAAATACATCTACAAGAGGAAATATCTATCCTCAAAGACCAACCTAGAGTAATAGAAGAGGCAAATGCTCTTTTAGCTGACTAGATATCAACACAGAGGGACTAGAAATATAAAAAGTCAATGAAATATGACACCACCAAAGTAACAAAATACTTTTCAAGTACCAGACCCCACAGATCAGGAAGCCCTTAAAATGTCTGTAAAGGAATTCCAAGGAACAATCTTAAACAAACTCAATGAGATACAAGAAGATTCAGGTAGACAACACAATGAAATGAGAAAAATAATCCAGGACTTGAAGGAGGAAATTTGCAGAGATAAATATGATAAAAAAGAAAATAGCAGAAATCCTCAAACTGAAACACTTATTCAATGGAATAAAATTTACAATTGAGAGTATGAGCAGAAGGCTAGAGCAAGTGGAAAAAATAATTTCTGATCAGAAAGACAGTATTTTTGAAATAACCCAAGCAGACCGAAAAAAAAAAAAAAAAACAGAAGAAAAAAAACAAAGAATCCCAAAAATAAGGAAGATCTAAGAAAGATAACAGACCACCTTAAGCACACAAACATTCAAATCATGGGTGCTCCGAGAGGGGGAGGAGAAAGGAAAAGGCATTGAAAATATATTCAGTGAAATAATACTAGAAAAGTCTCAGGGATTGTCAGAGATAAGTTATTCAAATCCAAGAGACTCGAAGGACCCGAAACAGATTCAACCCATAAAGGTTCTTTTCAAGAAACATTATATTCAAACTGCCAAAAGTCAAGGATTAAGAGACAGTCTTAAAGACAGCAAGAGAAAAGCATCGAGTTACCTATATGGGAATCCCAATCAGACTAACAGCAGACTTCTCAACAGGAACTCTGCAGGCCAAAGAGATTAATATAAAATATTCAAAGTACTAAAAGAAAAAACAAAACTGCCAGCCAAGAATTCTATGCCCAGCAAGGTTAACCATCAGAAATGAAAGGGAAATAGTGTATTTCCCAGACAAACAAACACTGTGGGAAATCACTACCGCATGACAAGCTCTACAAGAAATTCTTAAGGGAGTCCTGCACCTGAAACCCAAAAAATGGTAATCACTACTGTGCATACACAAGGAAGAACAAACACCACTATTAGAGCAGATACGCAAGTGAGAAGGAGAAAAAAACTATACCATACCTCCTTGAAAAACAAATGAGTACCAAAGACAAACAATGAAAGAGGAAGAAAGGAACAAAAGATAATTAAGTAAACCATATAAAAATCAGTTAAATGTCTGGATTAAGACACTACCTTACAGTAACAACACTAAATGTATATGGATTAGATCCCCCACCCCAAAGACAGACTGGCTGATTGGATTAAAAAGCTAGATCCAACTATATGTTGTCTACAAGAGACTCACCTCACTTGTAAAGACACACATGGACTAAGGGTGAAGGGATGGAAAAAGACATACCACACAAGTGGAAATAAAACTCATCAGGAGTAGCTATTCTTATACTGGATAAAAAAGACTTCAAAAAAAAAATCATAGAAAGAGACTGGGAAGCCCACTATATAATGATAAAGGAATTTATCCAGCCAAAAGACATAACAATCTGAATATACATGTACTCAACATCAGAGCACCCAGGTATGTAAAGCAAAAACTATTAGACCTAAGGAAAGAGATACACTGAAATACGGTATTAGTTGGGAAACTGAATACCACTCTCAACATTAGACATATAATTTAAGCAACAAATCAACAGAGAAACACCATATGTAAACCACACCTTAGACCGAATAGACTTGGCAGATATCTATAGAATATTTCATTCAAAAACCAGAGAATTGTGCATTCTTCTCATCAGCACATGGATCATCCTCCAGGATACAACATATATTAGGTCAAAAATCAAAACTCGATAAATTTTTAAAAATTGAAATAATTTCAAGTATCTTCTCACAAAGCTAGAAATCAATAACAAGAGAAACTCTGGAAACTACACGAACACATGGAAATTAAGCAATACAATCCTGAATAACATCAGGA